GACTTAAAGACCTGTCAAGATAGCTGATGCAACTTCAAATACACTCACCACTGACAGGACACGCGCTCAAAGCCATCTGTCCAGCAACTCTTTGTAAACCTCTATATATTTAATAAAGCCGCAAATGGTTTGATAAAAATGAAAACTGGAGAAATCTGTGCTAAGATTCAGCACAGCCTGTCAGCGTTATTGATACAAGCACCCAAAGTAACACTCAGTACCATGATCATAATAAACACTACTAATCATCCACATCCTGCTTCCTTAATGAGATTTGCTTCCTGTTGAATCAAGATATTGGTTTGGGATTTGCCGTAGGAAGTTCAGGAAGATGATGTGACAAGTGGGGAATTATTAAATCGGGGATTATTTTGGCATTGAAATTTGAAAATATACATTGACCTGAAGTGACCTTTTCCTCCATTTTTTCTCTGTCGCTACAGCAGTCCTATGCTCCTCCCCCGCAGCCCATGGCTCCGCCCAGCCCTGGCACTACAGGAGGAGGAGGTCATGGAGGATGTCATGGAGGTGGGCTAATGGAGCAACTCAGTAAGACCAACCTGTACATCCGAGGCCTGCCTCCTGCCACCACCGACCAGGACCTCATCAAACTCTGCCAGCCGTGAGTTCTATTCTTTTCTTTCTCTTCAACTTCATGTGACCCTGTCCTGCTCTGCACATGCATCCTTCAGCTCCTTTCGTTCCTGCTCCGTTCACTTCAGCTTGTGGTAATTAGTTGTGCGTGACTCCAACAGCAGTTTATAATGAGTATCAACAGTTTGCTCTTGACCTCTCTGCCCACCCCCCTGTGCTTCCTCAGAGGAAAAAACACAACACAGCTGGGCCTAACCCATCCGCTCTCTTTGGCACTGGGTCACACACACACACACACACACACACACACACACACACACACACACACACACACACACACACACACACACACACACACACACACACACACACACACACACACACACACACACACACACACACACACACACACACACACACACACAAGGACAGACACACACACAAGGACAGACACATGCATCCATCTGCAGAAAATGAAAACCTAAAATGTCTGCTAATGCTTTGGGACATTTCTTGTTAAAAGACATGAACATGTTTTACTGCATGGCAGGCCGATCCACTCCTTCTATTAAATGGAAGTAACATTAAATTGGCTGAATAGAAATGTAATTGCTTGTAGTTAATGCTACCTAGGGATACCAGTAAAACAGATCTGCATGATTGGTATTGAAGCTGATTAAGGCATATCTTTATTATTTATCTGAACACATTCTGATCCAGTGTTTATTATAACCCTGGCAGCAGTGATTGTCATACACAGTTTGTGCTGTGAATGTCCCACTGCTCCATAAACATTGAGATTGAAAGGTCACCTTGGAAACAGCATGTCACAAAAACACTGTGGTATGACTTTTAAAATTGAGTTTGAATAAAACATTTAGGCATCACCTGTGTGCAGATAGATTCTTAGTGCAGTTTAAAAACATTGTGCTTAAGTGGATGGATTATATTATTATATTATAATTTGCTCTAAATGGATTGTTTAAGAATGATGGGGGGGGGGGGGGAACCTAAATAAGATGAAAATGCCCTAGTAAGGTTGGGGAACAAAATAAATGTATGCTCCTTCAATAATCTTGTACAATTTTGAATCGATTCAAAACTTCAAACATTGATTTCCCTAAAATCTCTTAGGAATAAAATAGCAGAAAGCCAGAGGGTACCAATTTATTTTATGTAAAAGGCAGCACTTTAAATGTTTCGGTTACTTTAAGTTTTTATTCTTGAAGTCACTGATAATTGCAAAATACTGAAAAATATTCAGTAATAAGTATTCACAGTATTCTGTGCAAGTTGGGCATATGTGTGCTAACGTCTGCCTTTGTGTGTACATTATTGTATTCAGAATTTTAAAAACTCCTTCATCTTTTATTTGTTACCCTGCTCTCATGACATAACATGCCACACTGCCTTTATTAGCACACAGACAACTTCATCAAATTAGATCGAAAGTAATGAAAGCTGTGATACCAAACGATTTAAACCTCTCATTACTAGTCACAGCTCAGAGATCAGTTTTAAGGGTGTGAGCAGGTCAATGCTGAGGACACATTCAAACTAACCTGCTGAAATGAACCTAGAATATTCTCCTCACAGCAATATAGCAAAGAGTATCTGTACGTCCTGATAATACAATGGTGAATGGTGTAGGAATCCTGCAGTAACTGTTAGGCACTTCTCATCCTTGGTGTTTAAAGTCGATCCAGCACATTTCATTCCCAATTGTCCCTGTGTGGACAAACAGAGCAGAATGTAATGCAAACAATAAACCAGCTTTTTCCAGAGAGGGTTTTGTTTGCCTCCAGCTATTACCTGATGCTATCAATTGTAATTGGAGAATGATATATTGCTCTAAATATTCTGCTGGTAACGGCTACAAATGATCTCATCAACATTTCTAATTGAT